AAAGTAAATAGATACACACATAAAGGAGTAGATCTGCTAGTTAGATCATTAAGTGAAATAGGACTCTAGTATCAAAGAACTTTTGGGTGAAAATTGGTTTGGAGCAACAAAGTGCTTTATCATGCAATAATTATGTACAAATGAATGCATACATAAAGACACCTACATTTGKTTGTTTGATCCCTTTTCAATGAAAAATTCTTTATGGAGCCAATGCTCACCTACCCAAGAAAATTTGGGTGTGAGYTTATTAAGATACAAATTTAATAATTTTGTTTGAAAATTCAAATCTTCAATAAAATAATATATCTGATTTTTAAAATACCAAATCTTCATTAAAATAAGTCTACATCTATTAGTTGTCTTTTCTAATTTTAGTRATCTTTAGATTCCTTTTATTTTGGGTAAATTCTTGAAACGTGGTAAAATTTTATCTGCTTTTTTTTTATAGAAGTCAATTCTCCTGATATACATTTGAAATCCAAATCCATTTACTCTTCATAATTCATAAATTAATTCTTCAAATGTATCCCACCTCTATAAACAATAAATATCCCCGTGGTTTAGAAATCTTTTTCTCCCTTGACATTCACTTCTCAGGTGGACTGAACAAGTTACCCCTCGAATCTAAACCATTAGATTACATGTACATCATAAAGATGACAAAAGTTAAGATGTCATGTCCTCAAAATTAAAGAAGATTAACAACGACAGTATCCTCTCTCAAATTTAGATTTGGACTTTATCCAAGTCCATTTGATTATTTTTAAACTAAAACAGTACGAAACTATTAAGTTGTACATATAGAATAAATTTTATTAAATATAAGCTTTATATAATTATATATGTTATCGATATAGATAGATAGAAAATAATTGCGATAAGCATAATATTATGAGGATGAGATATTTTTTCGAGACTCACAGTCCCACCGTGCAAAGCGGGGGGGAGACTATGTGGTATACTTCTCCAAAATCTCAATCTCAATTGGCCGTCTTGCCGTGCAGATTCGTCTCTAATGTCCTTGACACGACTGATGATTAGAGCTCTAACTGAAGCTGGGACGGGTCCATCTTCGAGACTACCATTTGGTTTCGTGGGAAACTAGCATCAGTTGACTCAGTCCCAAGAAGTCTGCAATTAAATTCGTGGGAATCCATATGGTAGTTTCCCATGGAAAATTGATCATGGTCTGAGGGACTTGTCAACCCCACTGCAAGTTTCCTATACTTGTGGTTTTCATGCACTTTGATACTAGTCGCTTTAACAAGGAAATACCGTTTTGAGTAATTTATTATTTAATTGCAATAATTCAAATAAAGAATTATTTACTTAAAAAGTATTCTTAAATTATCTGACAATTATTTAAAGTATTCCTAGCTAAATTGTCTAACAATTATCTTCTTAACAAACACCCTTAAAACTTTTGGAAACATGACACACGTTACTCTTCCGTTAATTCCCCGTTACATTCTGTCACATCACGCAATTTGTCAAAATTTTGTAAAATCCATGTTTTGCTTTTGAGTTCTCTTTCATAATTCTAAAAAAGGTTATTTACTTATATATATTTAAGAAACTATTTAAATTTATCCTCAAATTGTAAAAGACAAAAATATCCTCAACCACGGGCAAAGCTAAGATTTTCTCTTGAGGGGCGGGGGCCAAAAAATAATAAACCTGAATGGGAGGCCAGAATTTTTGAAACATGGATAGTAGGGGAATCAAAATATAAGTGAGTTTGAAATTGGAATTGTGGGGATTCTCAAGGGATTGGGGGGCAGGGATATGGCCCCCCTCTACCACATCTGGCTTCTACCCATGTTCTTAATTATTCATTAAGGTGGCATTTGGTAGTGCATAGGCCCTATCTACTATAAGATATGATGTTCTGCTTTGTATAGATGGTCCCCGTTTATAAAATAGCATGAACAGGGATGGGCCACACCCTAATTTATCGTCTACAATATTTTCTTGCGGATTGTTCACATCATTTTGTGGAAATGTTTCAGTGTAAGACATATATATCACATTGGTCCAATTTCTCTCATTTTATTTAATCTTTTAATAATTTTTAAATTTTAAATTTTTAATATTTTATTATTAAAATAATACTCTTAATATTAATTCTAGAATAGGCCTGATGATTTTCCTTCTCAACTCTCTTTTCATTATTTAAATATAAATTTTTAATATTTTTATCAAAAAATAAAATTTAAAATATTAATTTTTATTTTTTAATATTTAAAATAGTATTTTTAATTATTTAAAAAAATGCAATTGTTGTCTACATATTGATGCCTTTTTTTCAATTTATTTATCATGTAAAATGCAAAAAATTAGACATTTATGATTAATTATGTAAATCTCCCATAAAATATAAATGTATATGAGATATATGGAATAAAAAATTACAGTATGAAGTAGTCCACACCACACCTATAAAACACCATTGTAGGTGTGGATCAGATCTATGGATGTACACAATCAATCAACAGTTGTGGACTGTAGTTTGGTGTAGCTTGGGGGTATTTGACATTTTAAAATTTTATAAGTATGCAGTACTGGAATTCAGAAATCTGCAATGGGCCTGTCCATTCTTTACGGTATATTTAGCTATAGGGATTCAGAAAATGGATTTAATTAGTAAATAAAAACCTATTTTCAACCAAGCCATCGAATCAGGGACGAGCCTCATACTTTCATTTCATGGGAGCTGAGGCATATAAGTGGCATGCATGCTGGTTATAGTTCATTTCTGATCATATCATATAGAATGAGCATTTCTCTCACAGGCTAGCATTTACAAAAAAAGAAAATATCGATTGTTTCATTCTTTATCGATTATATTTAAGTGTCTATGGTAAAATGTTTCTTTATTTGAATTGTTCAACTAAAAGTAATGGAATGTGAATAATCTTTACAATTGGCATCAGAGAATTAAAATATTTTGTGTAGAAGACTCCTGCTTCTGGTTGCATTGATGGCTTTGTATAAAAGGGATACTTCACATTGATTCAATGGTCTGGTCCTTGAATTTTAAACTTTTGTCATGCTGACTTTTAAATAATAAAATATGAACAAGTCTTTTTTAAATAATAAAATATCAAGTATAGTTTCAATGAGAAAAATGAAATGAGGGATAGGGGTGAGCAGGAGACAGGTATTATCGGAGGTTTGGAGAAGGTGGGATCCATTAAAGTGGGACCCATAACCCATGTGGTCTCTCCCAATGTTTTGTCTGTTGGTCCATCACATCGTTTTGTATAGGTGTCCAGGACACTATTCTCACACACATCTTTAAGAAGAGCCGAGCTTCTCCACTTTAACTACGTCAAATTCTTCCCAAATTTTTCTTTCATCTTCCTTTTGCCTGCCTTCTTGAGGCAGAGCATTTTCTTCTTTCCATTACTCTCCTCCAGGTATAATAATATATATTCTTGATCAGGTCGAGCACGATACATAGAATTAAAGAAGAAACATGACGACCTCTCGGCCGCTAGTGATCACCGTTATTTCTGCCAACAATCTTAACAAGGGCAGAGTCTGTGCTAACGTTTCCATCAATAACCACGCCCCTTCGAAAAAGAAAACTCCTGTCGATTGCAACGGTGGTTCAAACCCGGTCTGGAATGTCCAGATGAAGTTCTCTCTCAATGACCGGATGCTCCAAGAAGACCGCCTCCAACTTGTCATCGACCTGCATAGTCAGGAAGAGGGCGGAAGCATAGGAGGGGCCAGTATCAGGCTCAAGGCTATCTATGACACATGCCGGCAGCAGGGAAGAGATACCGACACCCCGCTTGATCGCAGGATTTACTTAACAAGTCCCACCGAACAGCAAGCTGGAACAGTTAGAATCTCGTTTATGTTCAAGGAGGCGTTTATCCACAATAATCCAGGCTCTCCAGCTGGCAGTGGATCTGGCAATTCTGTCAACGAATCAGGAAAGATTTCAGCGATCAGTGGACCAAGTGGAATACTACCGGGTAAGAGACCAGACAATACTAAAATTACTGGCACCGAGAGTAGTGGATCAACGTCGTCGGGCCAGAACGCGAGTGGTGGAATTGGCAAAATGTTTAGCACGACCGTTGCACCTGCTGTGCTAACAATGTCAGCTATTTCTGCCACTCTGAATATTACAGATCATTTTCATCATGATAATGATCACCACGGAGACCACCTGAGTTCTAACCCACAGTACGACAGCCCTGTCATTGGTAACGATGATAATGATCACCACGGAGACCACCTGAGTTCTAACCCACAGTACGACAGCCCTGTCATTGGTAACGAAGATAATGATCACCACGGAGACCACCTGAGTTCTAACCCACAGTACGACAGCCCTGTCATTGGTAACGAAGATAATGATCACCACGGAGACCACCTGAGTTCTAACCCACAGTACGACAGCCCTGTCATTGGTAACGAAGATAATGATCACCACGGAGACCACCTGAGTTCTAACCCACAGTACGACAGCCCTGTCATTGGTAACGAAGATAATGATCACCACGGAGACCACCTGAGTTCTAACCGACAGTACGACAACCCTGTCATTGGTAACGAAGGATACGAATCATACGGTAAAAATGAGAATACGAATCATACTGTTCTGAAGATGGTTAATTAACTCTAACGCCATTTTCACCTTCTCAATAACTGCGCAGAAATTGATCATAAAATTGCTGACGTTGTTACGGTGTGATTTTGCAGATATACGCGATCATGACGTTCCAGTTGATTCAGATATTGCCGTTGATGGCTTTCCAAATTTGGTCGACATTTTCTTCAATCTTTTTTAAATGAGAAAATCGGTGTCGCATTTACAGTTTACAGGCTCCAGAAATCTTCCTCAAGTGTGTGCTTATTTACATTATCTATTAGAGTACTGTTGGGGTTGCATGAAAACTTCAACTAATATGTATTAATCTTCCCTTATTTCGCTTGTCTTATTAATTATAAGTTTGTTTGCGTTGCAGCTGTACGTGTTCTCTGTGTGTCTAAAGTAGTATGTATCTATATACAGTAGTTTCTGCGTTGATTGTGGATGCCATGTTACTCTCGTCTCTTTAATAAAGCGTTTAATTATTTACTTTTTACATATAGTTCCATATTTGTACTTCGATGGGATGGATCTGGCATGAATTTTGATTTTTGAGTCAAGGAATTGAAACGAGATGAGAAAGGGAATTTTGTTTGAGAAACAGTGTTTTAAAACCACAATTGGCCCAGCCGGTTGAACCGTTCAATTAATCGGTATTTGGCAAACCTAGTATCCGTTTGATTTGTGGTTAGGATTGGATTTGGAATTAGAATCAAAATCACCTATTCTTTATGCCTATTTGGTTTAGTTGGGGAATCTGAATCAAATTCAGATCGTTGTTGTTTGGCCATTTGGAGTTGGAATCAGACTTGTTTATGGCTYGGGCTCGGGCTCAGTCTTATCTTTTCCAAATTTGAATGGGCCTGCCCAAAGTCCGAGCCCGACATAGTGTAAAGTGAGGCCCAAAGCCCACCCATGAACAGGTCTAGGTCTAGTTGGAATTGGAATCAACTGAAAATTTTTAATTTTGTATTAGTTTATTGTTATTTTATTATTACTTTATTAATATTTATAAGTTAATTATTCTTTTATTAGTATTTTGTTATTATTTTTTTAGTTTTTAATGATTATTATCTTAATATTTTTCATTTATTTACATATACTTTATTAGTTTATAATTATTACTTTAATAATATTTTGAGTTGTAAATACTTAAAGTACTCCTATGAATTGGCAAATGGACAAAATTTATCCTACTTTTTGAAGAATTACTTAAAGTACCCTTAAGTTTTTTTTGACAATTCATTAAATATTGACGAACAAATTTACCCTGCATTATTCCTCACATTTTCAAAATAAAATCCAACTGATGAAAAATTTCTTATTGACTCTAGTTTGCTAGCCATCTTCCATGACCTTTGAAGAATTTGAGCACAGGCACATACATCCATTAGATGTATGCTTCGATCAGTTCCACCATGAAATCTCTCTTTGTTTCATCCTCCAATTCAATTTCATTTCTCTTATCTGATTCAACTTGGACTATAGGAAAAGTACGCTTGTTCGACCATAGATCAAATGCTACTTGGATGAATGTAGTACAAACACTCAAGGTTTGAAGAAGTTCGTTGAAGAGAACCAAAAATTGGTAGTTGAGTGTGCCATCCTTTTGAATCAATGTACAAGGTGGGAGAAGGAAAGCTCAATGTATGAGTGTGATAGGGAGGTGCTGTTGGGGTTCGACAATGAAGATGATGAAAGGGACAAAGAGGTTGAAATTCCCATCCTTGAAATTGAGGATGGGTTGAGGAGTGTTGCAAAGGAGTTGCAATTAGGGGTGCGAATGGACCGGTTTCAGGTTGGACTCCGTCCAAATTGAAAGTGTTATGGATGGATTTGGATGGCCTAAAATTGAAATGTTATCGGACCGATCCAAACATGAATTACCCATTCATAGAATGGATCCAAAAGTGGACAAAGCCAGTTAGTTCAAACGAGTCCGTTGGTCCATTCATTTCGTTTGAACCATGGAAAGTTTTGAAGGCTAGGGATTGATGCCTCCGTTGTTCCATCCCCAAAGTCTCGCCGATGGTATTTTATTTGAATCTTCGAGCAAACTCCAATGGTATTTCCTTCCCACTGGCGATCTTCCTCTCCCCCTCTGCCCTTCTTCAACAAAAGCACCCCTTCTTCTCTCATCGCCCTCTCACTTTCTCTAGTGACAGTAGTACAACACTCTCTCTTCTCTCAGTGTGCTCTCACTTTCTCTAGTGGTGACAACACTCCCTCTTCTCTCAGGCAATCATATTTTGGTCATTTTCTTTCTTGCATCTCTCTCTCTCTCTCTCTCTCTCTCTCTCTCTCTCTCTCTCTCGCAATAGGCTCCTCTAACCTCTGTGCTTTGTTCATTCAGGTATTTCATCAATCCTTTGTCATTAGTAGGACTGTTCATAAGAAGGCCCAAACCGACCAAACCGACCAACACGAACCGACCCAACCCGAGTTGGCCAGGTTTTCATCAGCATCGGTCGGTTTCAGGTTGGGCAAATTCATAAACCGATATATCGGGTCGATTTCAGTTTTCTTGTGTGAAAACCAAAATCGACCTGAACCGAATCGAACCAATTAGTCTTCTAGCTAGTTCCTACTTAACTAGTCTTCTAGAGTTCTAGTTCCTACTTAACTAAATTGTATCTATCCTAGTTTCTATAGTCTTTTACACTAAATAGGCAATTAATTAGGCAATTACAATTAGAATTAGGTGTCCTTTTTTACTTAGATTAGAATTTAGAAAGTTTCTTGAAMTATAAATATTTCARCCTTCTTTMTATAAAAYAGTTTGACTTTCTATTTTRTTGATAACTTTTGTCTTACTTGACACTTGTTTTTACATGAAGAATTTATTGATTTTATTCTTTACCTAAATTGAATTCAGATTTATCTTTGACTCTTGAACAACAACTAATTCAGATTTACATGAAGATTTATTTTGGACTCTGAATAAAATTCAGATGGCTGAAATGATGGTCAAATAAATTTCCTTCTAGTTCTAGGCTTCTCTGTCCTTTTTGTACAGGAGAAAAACCGAAACCGACCGAAACCGACCCAACCCGACTCAAATCGACCAGATCGGTTTTGTCTATTAGTGGGTCGGTTTCGGTTTCCACCTCAGGTAACCCGACCAGGTCGGGTCGGTTGGGAAAACCCCAGTAATCCGACCCAACCCGACTCGTGAACAGCCCTAGTCATTAGAACCTAGCATAGAACAGGTTAAGCTTCACTTGATTTCTTGTTCTTTTCATTGTTTTAACATAGTTGCTTAAAGATAGGAAAATAACCTGGCCAACAATAGTTTTCGGTCTGCAAAACATCTATTCTCTCATTATTAGCAAGGAAACATGTTTTAGCCTTTTTTTTTCCTATGAGGCCATGAGTACTTAATTGAATTGGATTAGTCCAGACCTAATTGACATGATCCATTTGTACTGGACTCACATCAGGGCATATCAAATTGGAGCAATATCCAATACATTGACAACCCTGTTTGTAAACAATCTGTTAGACTTTCTTGTGTTTCATGTTAGTGTGAAAGTTAATTTATTTTCTTACTTATTGCATTAAGGATGGATAACCAAGTAACAAAAATGCAAATGTTCTTGAAAACCCCGATGAATCATGTATGACATCTAGCTCTACTGGGAAGAGGGTTAGGTCCAAAGCATGGGATCATTTTAAGAAAATAAATTTGGATTCAAGGGAGCAKCGAGCTATTTGTAAACATTGCGAAAATAGTATATAGGAGGAAGTTCTAAAGGAATGAGCCACATTTTAGGGCATGTACCAAGATGTCCTAAATTAAAAAAATTGGGCACAAGTGAATAAAAAGTTCCAGAAAACTTTAAATTTGACCAACATAGGAGCCAAGTGGACTACTTAGAAAAGATGATAATGAAGCATGGGCATCCTTTTAGTTGAAGAAGAGTTTTTTCAGATATTTGTCAATAATCTTCAGCCATCATTTATGTTTGTAAGAAATACAATAAAGAATGATGTCATGAAGATTTATTTGGATGAAAGGGAGAAGCTATACAAATACTTTGATGGTTTGGATTGTTAGATTAGCTTAAGTATTGATATGTGGACTTCAGAACAAAATTTGGGGCGTTGTTGTTTAACAACACACTTTATAGATGATTGGTGGGCGGTGAAGAAGAAAATTATTGCATTTGTGGCAATTGAATGTCCCCATGGTGGAAACACTTTGTATGAATTCATTATGGAGAGGATGTTGACTTGGAACATTGATAAAAAAACATATATTATAACAGTTGGCAATGCCTCTAACAATGATGTTATGGTTAGGGGGCTTAGGAATCAACTCTGTGTTAAGGGTTTGCCCCCATTGCTTGGTGCCTATTTCATGTGAGATATATTGCTCACATCTTGAATCTTATTGTTGTGAAAGATGGGTTAAGAGAAGTATCACCATTGTTACATAAGATTCAAGAAAGTGCTAAATATGTAAGGATGACACCCCATAAGGAGAAAAAAATTGACAATGAAAGAAGCCAAGCAAAAGTACAACCTAAGAGAGGGTGGTTGTTGATTGTCTAACATGATGGAACTCCACATATGACATGTTGGACACAACTTCAGAGTTGAATGAAGCATTTTTTCGACTAGATGAGATAGAACGTAATTACAAGAATCTACCTTTTGATGAGGAATGGGAGATGGGGGCAGTTTTTTATATCTGCACAAAAAATTTCTCAAGTACTACTTCTCCAACCTCAAATGTATTTTTCCCGATATTTGCACAATCAAGCTTTTATTGATTTAGTGGTTGATAGTGATTATGATTATATTCATTCAATGGAAAATAGAATGAAGAAAAAATTTGATAAATATTGTGATGAATGTCTTTTGGTGCTTGCGATTGTCTTTGACCCCAAGTTTAAGATATAGATTGTAACAAATGACTACAATCTCATTTATGGAGAGACTGCTAAGAGACATGTTACAGGAGTTAGAGAGTCACTTCATGGCCTATATTCAGAGTATGTGGGTTTTGATATAGAGGATGGGTCACTTGTTGGCTCTAGTATTGCATCTCAGCCTTTGAGGATTCGTGGTGTTATAGATTTTTTGGGTTGTTTTGATTGATGATTGACTGAAGAGTGTCTGGAGTGTTGTCTAGGCATTCAAAAGTTAGAGTTGGATCTTTATCTTAAAGAAAAACTATTTCCTAGTAGTGGTGAGAGTTTGATATTTAGAGATTCTAACGAGTTGATGTCCTAAGTTTCTGAAACTCTCTAGATTGGCACATGATGTTTTGGAAATTTCTGTATCTACTATAGCATCCAAGAGAACATTCAGTATTGGGGGTAGAATAGTAGATCAGTGTCGTAGTTCATTTTTTCTAGAGACGTGGAAGCTTTGGTTTATAGGCAAGACTAGTTAGAAGCTCCAACTACAAAAAGCAAGTTAAAATTTGGATCTTGAAGTAGTTGTTTTCTTTCCTATGTGTTTTTCTTTATTCATATATTTTTGTTTCTA